TTTTTTGCAGCCTCCCTCCCCCCACAGGTTTCGAAGTGCAATTCGAGCCCTGCCCCTAGGCCAAGGATCAGCTCGGTCCAGACTAGTCCCTGCTGCAGAAGAAGGCAACCCCCCCTGAGCAGGGGGGGAAATCCCTTCCTGCCCCAGTGCAGCTGGGACTGAGCCTGAGCGCGGGGGCAAGACCCTCCAGCCAGGACCCTGCCGGGTTGGTGCCAGCAGGAGCATCGGCACAGCCCCATCCCCAGCACCTCTGGGGGAGGCTTCAAAACCTGACACATGGAGCAGAAAGTGGGGATGGGGGCAACCAGAAGCCCGGGACACCCCCACAGCAGAGCACAGGCATCCTGCGCCTACATCCTCCCCGATCAGTGTCCATCCAGCCTGTGCTCGACACCTCCACTGGTGGGAAGTCCTCCCCTGCTCTGACAGCGAAGACGTGTTCCTGGATTTCCAACCTAAACCTACCTTGCTGCAACTTCCAGCCATTGGTCCACGTCTTCCTCTCCAAAGGGGTCACAAAGTGCCATGCCACAGCCACTGCAGGAAGGACACAGGCTCCCTTTGAGGGCTAGAGTTGGGAGCACGCTACACCACACACCTGCATGGCCCATGTCACCAGGTGCCCCAGCTGCAGCACCCCGAGGACCTGCCCGCACTTGCTAGCCAGAGGATGCCTCTGGTGCAGCAACACAACCAGTGAGAGAGCACCAGGGCACCCGGGACAGGCTTGCTCCAGCCCACCTGCACACCCACCCTAACACAGCCTTCCTCTTCCTTTGCCTCCCAGGTGTCTGCAGTCACACAAGAGCCTGTCTGGAGGCGAGCCAGGGAGAGCATGAATGCAGTCCCGCACTGCCACAAATTGTGCAGTTGAGTTTCCTGTGCGTGGGGAAATTGCAGGGGTCAGCACACCTGGAGTGCAAGGGGTGCGACTCACCCTGGGGAAACACCACTTTATTATTCATAGTATTATTGTGATGATGATGATTATTGTACCAAAGTGTAAACACGTTTCTCACACTTTGTTGCCCCAACAATCCTGTTGCTGGAACACCACTTTCCACCACAGACACTTCAGAACAAAGCCAAGCCCCTCCTCAGCATTTCTTGTCCACCAGTCTCCTAACGGGAAGGAAAAGAACAATTGTGTTCACGCAGCTCTTGATCTCAGGGCCGTGTCACACGTCAGCCAGCTTCCATACAAGACAGGCATAGTTTTAATTGTTCTTACATAGGGATCACCAGTCATTTTGTTTCCATTTGCCTTTGGCCTCCTCTGCCCCCAGGTCCCCTGTATAGCGTGACCAGGCAGTCTGAACAGTGAATTCCACCCTGGGAAAACTAACTTCTTTTTGATCTACAGTTTAACGAGAGAGCACATTCACTTGCCATTTAAGTCTGAAGCCAATGAGATGCCAAACCCAAACACCCAAAGCTCAGTACAACCCATAGTACCCACTTCTCATCAGTTTCCCTCAGCAAACGTCTGTGCAGCTGCCCTTGCTCAAGGGAGTGCCCTGCTTGGGCCTTAACCTGGCCTTGGCCCTGGCACTCCTCCCCCAGCACAGTGCTGCTCTCAGCACAGGGCAAACACAGAGGACCCCGCCATGCTGCCCATACTCAGCACCTTGCTGCCACGTCTTCCTCTGTCTGTCTCCACGTGCTCTCCCTGCACTGGCGTCACGTGCTCTTTCCCCTTTTCTTCATGTGCACTGCGCACCTTCTGGCCTGGGCCATGTGCAGAGAACCCCTGGGCACAGCTGGTCCCGCTACTGCTGCCCCTGCCCTAACACTCACTGTCTGTGCCTCAGTCCGGTCTCTGGAGGCTGCCATGCCAGGCCTGTGCAGCCCTTACTCAGCACCAGGCTCTCTCCTGACCCGTGGTGCTGGGCAGGCAGCTTCCCTCAGCCACCGGCATGCAACTCTGCTCTAAGTTCCCTGTACGTCAGCTCCATCCTGCTGCCCTGGGTGCCCCATGCCCAGAGGTGAGTTGCCCTGCTGGGTCCTCTGCCATGGGCAGGTCTCCCCTGGCTCCAAACCAGGAGGCATCGCCAGGGCAGCCTGGGCCTGGGCTGCAGCAGAGCCAGGGACATACTCTGCTTGCGAGCTTCCAGTGCAACCAGGCCTTGGCCTGCCCTGGGGTGGGGGGCAGAGGTGGTCTTCAGAGCCCCAGGAGCATGGGTAGTCACACTGTCCTGGCCCTTGGTAGCCCTGGGGCCTTCCCAGGAGTGGGGGTAAGCTCTGGGCCGGGGAGCCAGGTGGCCCCAGGAAGTGGGGTGTGCAGAGACTGGGGGTGCAGCTCAGACCCCCGTGGGCCCAAGTGAGAAGCCAATTCTGGTCAGGTCCTTCCTGTAGGAGCCCTGGGGCCAAGGTAAGAGTGACCCCCACCCTTTGGGCAGGGAGAGACCTTGGCTGGGCCAGTGCCGGGAAAGGCCAATGGGTCTGCCCCATTGAGGCTTGGCACTGGATGGGCCATCTGGGCCCATGTCGGGGGCCTGCCCCTCACCCATACAGACAGGGATGCTGGGGTGCAGGGACAGGGGCTGCATGTAGGGAGACTGGGAGTGCTGGTGTGGAGGTGGGGTGCAGGCTGGGAGCCCTGGAGTCGCTGTGGGGTGGAGGCTGGGGCATGGCAGGGGATGGGGCAGCCTGTGTTGGGGGCCAGGACCATGACCAGTGTCCTTTGGAGGCTGTGTGCACCCACTTATGGCCCTGCCCGCACCTGCAAGGTGTTTGCAGGTCAGTGGGAGGAGAGAGCAGGAGCCCCAGCAGTATGGGGCAGGGAAGGCCGATGCAGCAGCGCCGCAGGAGAGGACAGAGCCTGCTTGGCAGCCAAGAGCAGGAGTAGATGAGATGGTACGTGCCTGGGAGCCACAGACCGAGGCAGGCCAGCTCCTGGGGCTGCTCCACTGCCCATCAGCCTGTCTACGGTTGCCAGGTACCCGCTGGTCCGTTCGCTGACTTGCATGCGCCTGCCCTTCTTCTGGGCACCTTGCAGCAAGGGGATGGAGCATTGATACACCTGTAGCATCTAACCTCCCTGTGTCCCAGCTTAGCCTGGAGGCCAAGGGCTGCACGGAGCCGGCCTCAGCACTGCTGGCCTGCATCTAGGCCGGGCTCTGGTGCGGGTGGCACGGGG